CGCACAGACACCAGGCATCAGTCACTCCCCAGCAGTAGTGTCCATCTCACAACGCCACGGCAAACATGAAGCTGGTGAGTGCGGCCAGAGAGATCGGTGCTTCACATGAGGGTTGACAATCATATTCCAGCGGCGTCCTGTACTGTCAGTAAAAGTGCCAGCACACGCCGAGCAAGACAGGCTATTGGCCGGCGTCCGTTGGCCCTTGGCCCTTGCCTTCTCAACCTTTGCCTGCATTGCTGGGTCGGCACCCCCTCTGACATCAGCTGGGTGTGTTTCCAGCTGATCGTAGCCTCGCTGGCGGCTCTGGCCTCCGCTGATGGCCCGCGGGCCGCAGCCGGCACCACGCCTCCTACCAGCGACCGGCGGCCCCGGCACCAGCCTCCTAACCAGCAGCCGGCGGCACAGGCCTCCTACCAGCAGCCGGCCGGCTACGGCCAGCCCTTCGCCATCCTCAGCGAGGAGAACGTCCGCCCGGGCGACGGCACCTACCAGTTCGGCTTCCAGACCGAGAACGGCATCTCACGTAACGAGAACGGCAGCCCCAAGGACGGCTACGGCAAATCCGAGTACGGCCAGCCCACCGGCGGCTACGTCCAGCAGGGCGGCCTGGAGGTACAGCGATGATTACGGCCACCCCATCCAGGTGACGTTTGTTGCCGACGAAAACGGATACCAGCCGTCTAGCGACATCCTGCCGACGCCGGTGCCGACCGAGTACCCGCTGCCGATCGTACCGCAGGTGTATCAGGGCGAGCAGAGCTATGGTTTCTGCCCCAGCTTCCACTCCCGCCCGCTACAGCGCCCCGGCTCCTGCTGCCCGGCAGTACAAACGCTCCCGCTCCTGCGGCTCTGCTCCTGCTCCTCGGCAGTACAACACGCTCCCGATCCTGTTTCCTGCCTCCCAGGCAGTACAGCGCTCAGCTCCAGCTCTGCTCCTGTCCCCAGGCAGTACGGCGCAGGCGCTCCTGCCCCAGGCAGTACATGCTCCTGCTCCGGCCCCTGCTCGTTACAGTGCTCCTGCCCCAGCCCGAAATTACTAAGAAGGATGGACGGCGAGCGCTAGGAGGGTCGCACACGAGCGTGCGAAGCTGTGAGGCTTCGTGAGGGATATATGTACGCGCCGGTACTGCTGGAAATACAGACACATGCAAATGGACTGCGTTCATGTCACCCTTGTAATAATTTGTGGCTGGGGCAAATAATGTCGACGATGCAAATGGTCATCAAAACCATGTGCTGACGAGACAACTTTCCATTGAATAATTCGCATTCTGACCACATCCATAATCGGCAGCCTAGAGATCCACAGACGATGGATCCACAAACCCGGGCCGACGCTGTCATTAACTGGAACAGCAACTGGACTTTGAAGAGTGGATAGAACGCCTGACATAAAGTATTGGCACGGGTGTGAGGATGGAGTGATGTCTGGCAATCATCCTCGATGGATCATCTTTTAAGCGGCATCAGACTTCTCATCACCTGCAGCGTGAGGACGCCCGTCAGTGAAACCATGGACCCGGTCCACAGGTTTGTTTTATACTGTTGCCTGTGCTCGACACCTCCTGCCCATTGCCTGGACGACAGGGTTCTCGATCCGCTCATACCGCCAGTGGTGATCGTCCAGTGGTAAACGTCATATTCACGGGCATGCTGTCAGGTTTAAGAGGAGTCCAACGGATTTGGGTTTGACTTCGTCTGTGAAGACCATACCGCTCCGAGCTTGCGACACTATCTGCATCTGAATGCAGTTTGGACCTCTCCGCACTGGCAGAACGTGCTTTTTCACCTGACGTTCCGGGATAAAAAGGTTTTTTATAACTACTTAGGGCACTTGCCCTTTGTTAAGGCGTCATTCCTCAGCACTACAAACGCACCAAACCCTCTAAAACTAGTTGTGGATATAGTAGCAACTTTGCATCTGAGCACACAGAGCAGCAGAGTGATGAATATAATCAGTCGCAAAATTCATGTCATTCCCCCGAATGAAGAACGCTGGAGATATTGCCAACTTCGGTGGAGCGTCGAACCTTCACTTTGCTGCTCCTGCTGCTGCCGTCTAAACAGCAGCAGGAGCTTCCGAGGTGCTCGGGGATGTAGTGACCTTGTACTTCCGAGGCGCTCGGGGATGTAGTGACCTGCTGCTGCCGTCTCAACAGCAGCAGGTACTTCCGAGGAGCTCGGGGACGTAGTTGACATTGTAACTTCCGAGGCGCTCGGGGATGTAGTGACCTTGTACTTCCGAGGCGCCGGGATGGTAGTGACCTTGTACTTCCGAGGCGCTCGGGGATGTAGTGACCTGCTGCTGCCGTTCTCAACAGCAGCAGGTACTTCCGAGACGATCAGAAATGTAGTGACCTGCTGCTACGGTTTCAACAGCAGCAAGTACTTCAGAGGCTCTGCGGGAACGCGGAGATCTGCAGCTGCACCATTAAAAGCAAGACATGCAGCGTTGCACGCCGCAGCTGCAACAGCCGCAAAGCAGGCCTTTGGCGGTGCAGACTGCTGCCAGTCTTAGGAGGAAATCGCATGATCTAGCCGTTGCACCAGCAAGCAGATGAACATCGAAGACAAGGAAGGGGAGTTAGATGTACATAGTGATGATGCCTTTAAAAAGTAGTGGGTAGTAATGTGACGGGTGCTGTCTGGTTGTACTGCATTCAAACTCTTTCTGGATATTGTTGACATGGCACATCGGAGGTTTTCTACTCTTTTGATATTTAACATCTGATTTGACGTTAAATTAGATCTTGTAGCCCAAAAATAAGTCCAGAAATGGACTCGTAATAGAGATACACCCGATAAAGATAGGTCATACGGCCATCTATGTGCATCCAGATGAACATGAGAAAATTGGTTATCATTCAAGATAGCGATGGCCACCACCTTGAATTCTGAGAAGTGCTAAGGTTGCACAAATAGCAACCAAGCCTTGCTCGTTGTCGAGGACATATTTCCCGCGAAAAAGTAGCATTGCAGGGTAAACATTGCAGGGTCAAACCTTTTGCCAGCTTGACTAATGGTGATACAGAAAGTTTGGGCAAAGAAGGGCTAAACAAGCTGCTCTGTTTATTCGTGATCCAGTTGAAGGAGGACAGACGGTGGTGGGTACGACAACAGCTCAATGTATTCTTCGGTCTCAGTGCTTGGCCGTTATGCTAACGATATGGGCATAACGGCCAAGGAGATATTGAAAAAGACAGCCAAGGCCTGGGCCTGATCGGCCTGAAGGGCCCAAGGCCTGAACGATTACCAAGGCCTGAAAGATGTGAAGAAAGCCAGGGTTGAGCTCCTCGAGTCGACAGCAAAGGGCAACCGCCAGAACCAAGAGCTTGCAATCAGCAAAGAGGAAGAGAAGATGCTATATGCCGCAGGCCAGCTTGGGTTGCTGCGGCCTCGAGACTCTTCAACGCACGTTCTGGCGGCACCTGACAGTGCTGTTCGGACACAGGGCTGTGGTGGGAGCCGCCAGCTGAAATGGGACGATGTCCAACTGAAGACCGACTCAACAGGTGACCACAGTTTTAATTTAAACGAGCGGCCCACCAAGGCCTGTGACGAGGGATCTGTCTCAGGTAGTCGGGCTTTGAAGCTAAAAGCCTTTGCTGACAAAGCATTGAAGATACCCAAAAATGCACAGTTCAGACATATGAGTTGTTCGTGGCCTCGCCGCCCAGCCAAGATGCTCCAGATCGGCAACCTTTTTCTTCCTGAACATTAAATCACTGCTGGTGCCCTGATGACGCCACAGAAACCCAGTGGTACAAAAAAGTCGCTGATGGGAAAGAACAAAATAGCAGGCATGCTCAAGACGGCATGTGAAAACGCGTGGATCCTGGGCAGGAGAACAAACCATTTGGCCCGCAAGACCTGCGAGAAGAGGACATTGGACACAGGTTGCCCAAGACATACGTAGCCCAGTTGACAGGTCAAAAGTCTTTGACGAGCCTGGAATGCTATGCAGTGACTGATATTAACATCCAGAGGGCCCTCTGCACTGGTGTAACGAATGGGTCTCGTTTCAGTGGGGCCACAAAGAATAGAATGTCATCGATGTCAACCAACAGAGGTAGCAGCGAAAGCGGCAAATTAATTTTTGACATCACTAAACTGTCAGAACGTCAGAGCGTCAAGCAGCTAAATGAAGCAAAACATGGGAAATTTTGTTTATATGCATAAAAAATAATATTCAACTCTGGAGCAAAATGCAAGTTTATATTAACTGCACTCTATGCTATTGTTTGCATTGCTTGTCGCACTTGATCGCTAATTGGCGAGATATTTGATCCGAGGAAAACGGTGTATCTATATAATCTATTGCGGTTATCTCCGTTCAGGAACTTGTGTCAAAAATCGATAAAATGTAAATACCCGGCGGGCCGAACCTTTGTCCCATTGACCTAACAGTTTTAATTGTAACAGTTTTATTATTGTTTCATTGTTAATTGTCCCATTGACCTAACAGCTCAGACATCCGAGACCTTGTTACCGCACGCTCGCGCTGACATTAAAGACATCCCCCCCCCCCCCCTGTGGTAAAGACTGAGTTACTGGCGCACGGAGTCGACGTCCGCGTGCATGCGAAACCATCGTGTTGTTAGACTTAGTGTTGTCTCACAATGCGCTCATTTCCCGTCGCCTGTACGGAGAGACGCGTGGGAGATCTGAGCCGAGGTCGACAAGCGCATGGCGCAAATGAAACGTAGCCCCTTTTTCTGACACGGCTGCCAAACCTTTTCCAAGTCCAATAACTATCTTTTTGGATTATGAGGTTCCAACCACGCACTTATACATTCAATGAAAAAAGCTTCAAAATCGCGAAGGAAAATTGTTTTGCATGCATTACAAATGTTCATAAGACCACAATAAGCGGACCCTTGCGTGAAATGACTCCAGCCAAGGCCTATACGTAGTTTGAAGGTTTTGAACCAGTTTGACACCTATATTTGTACGGTTCTCTTTCATAGTAATGAAAAATTGCCGCCGAACGTAGCCATTAATCACAAACCAAGAAATACCAGAGACTGTCACTCCGAAACCGCTCATTTGAGAACCTGAGAATATCACGGGCGTCCTTCAGCGCCACTGACATCTCCTGTGGCATATTTTTGTCAACATTCGAGAGATGAGGGTGTAAAATTGACCCTTTGACCTGTCGAGTTGTTGAGGAATGCCCCGCTTTCCAACTCATTCAGAGAGACGCGACGAGCAAAATAAACAAGAGGGTTAAAGGTATCGTCGACGGCATTTAGGCTACACAGGACAGATCCAGCGTAGGTTCATGGTGGCGAACCAGCCGAGACCTGGTCAGCTGCAGGGCAACCCAAGTCCACAAGTGACATTTCTCTGCGACTTGTCTGCCTCACAAATGAGTGTCCACAGAAAAACAAGGCGGGCAATCTACAGAGGCCGACGGAGTCAGGAGGGCTGTGGAAAGGGGTGTGTGCTATGCAGGCGCGTGTATGTACATGTATATATATATATATATATATATATATATATATATATATATATATTTATATTTATATTATATATATATATTATTTATATATATATTATATATACGAATATCTGCATCCATATTCAAGAACAACCATCTCACTCAGTATACGCATCACGATGCACGTCCAGAACGTCTGCCCAAGAACGCAAACGGAATCCAACTATGACCAGCGACCTAACCGGCAACAAACTGCAGATAGCGCCACTGTGGTAGGCAGTTGCCACGGCATGAGACGGCAATATGTGATGGAAGCCGTATACATGCGAGACACGGACCTATCTATCAAGAGACAGCTCAGCCCGCGGGAAACCCTAGCCCTATACGAAGGAATTCCTATCCGTTGGCCCACGGATAGGAATTAAGATGCAACTGAATTAAGACAGTCCAACTGAAACCACTTAATGGGAGACAGGTTAGCTCTTTAGAATTGGCTTCCGTGAGCTTTAGCTTTAAGATAGTTTCTAATACCTTGCTGGTACCGCGCTTTCGTGAAAAAAGAAGAAAAAGCACGCTGGTGTTTTATATTTTTCCGCCAAGTTTCGGTAATAGATTAGACTATTTGTTAGATTTTTTGGTAAGTTCATCAATTATTCACAACCCATGGTGGGTGTTACCTGTTAATATTGTGTGTGATTACTGTGATTTCAAGCTAATGTCTTGCGTCTTGAGGACGTCAAAAGTTTAACGAACATCGGCGGGATTTAAAAGGGGACAGAAATGTGGTTCGCCTGAGAATGTGCTCGCAATGAGTTTTGCTTCAGGACTTACAAGCACAGTCCAGAGAGCAAGAACTTAATGCGTAAGATTGAAAGTACATCGCGGAGGACCACAACAACGAAATCGCTGTTATTTTCAACGGCGCTGTTATTTTCGCGAAACCCCCTTTGATGTCTGCAAAGCCTACATACAACACGTTTCGTGAGAGCAAAATCGACGCTGATTGAACTATCAAACGCAAACATCACCACACACGCACAGGAGCCACGGTCATTTTTCATTATGCGCCTTTTGTGGAAAGGAAAGGAACAAACATGACTGGAACAAAGGCCCCATTGTTGCAAGGGAAGGTTGGACATGGTGAACTGCCTATATGCATTTTCTGAAGGAGGTATTTCTCAGGTGAGCACTCCCTCCGACCGTCACCGCTGGGGTCGCCCAAAGATGTGGCCATCGCACCGCTCCCAAGTACTCTGAGCGCACAGTGAAAATGCTCTTACGATCATTGTTATCTCATCGCCTCGCTATCCGTCACGTAGCTACAGTATCGCAAGTTAGTTATTTTCTTTACTTCCATATATTTCTCCAAAACATATATCCCAATGAGTTAAGTATCATCACGCTGACAGTCTCTCCAGTCACAGTAAGAGCCAAACAACATGTGTGTTTAATGTTTCCACTGTTATGAGACCGTTGCATTTCCTAGGGTACGCGCCGAAGAGGCGCCGAGCACTTCAGCGCGCGGTGCCGATGCTTCCAACGCCTCCTCCTCCGTCGCCGCCAGCGGCAAGCAGCGACTACCCGTCCGCCGCTGGAGGCGCCCCACCTCCGCTGCGGCCACCGGTGACGGCGGCGCCACGTGCGCCGACGCCGTCCGCGGACGGTGGGTGGCGCTCGGCACCGAGGGGGCTCGGGACTGCACGTGAGCGGGCTGCGCCGGAGCTCGGCAAGGCCGTGAGGAAATGGACGACTATCGAGGCAGCTTTGCCAGCACATCATCAGCCCGATGGTTAGTCGGTCTTCGATATGTTGACGCCTCACCTCTTAGTCTCGTCTATTGTTTCAGGCGGCGGCGTAGGCCGAGCGAGCTTGTCTTCAAAAATACATTTGTTCTGTGCATGATAGGCCAAGCCCGACCTGACGCGACTCTCGGGCTCTAGTACGCTAATAGCCCTGCAACCATTGTATGATGCCGGCTTCTTTCATCGGCCCTTGGCAGCATTCTGGCCTTGTCCCGTTAGTTAACTGTAGCATCACTGTTTTATATCACCACTGCT